GTGTCATTTACTTTACTATTTTTATTTTCCGCGTTTTATTTTTGGTTTAAAAAACTCTGTGGTTGAAAAACGTTTTCTATAAAAACTTAATAAAAATTTTCATTTCTGTTCAACACATTTTCAAAGAGGGTTTAAATTTTTAAAATACCAATTCACCCCCCTTTTGGTGGCCTTGGGACATTAACTTAGGTCTAACAACCTATTTACTAGACTCAACAATCAACCCATCCTACGCATTACTACCACGTCATCAATTCATCCTTCATGTCATTATCACATCATCAATCCATCCTATGTATCACTTCCATGTCATCAATGTATCATGTGTATCACTGCCACATTATCAATCTATCCTATGTGTTACTGCCACAACATTAATCCCTCTTGCATCTCACTACCACGTTGTCAAACTATCCTACATGGCACTATCATGTCATCAATCCATCCTGCTTTCTACGTCAGTAATTCATCCTTCATATCCCTATCACATCAGCTATCCATCTTGCGTGTCACTGTCACGTTAGCGCCAAACCTACATGATGGTTCCATGCTAGACTTGTTCCTACATGTCACTGCCATGTCATCTATGATCCTGCATGTCAGTGCCATGTCAGCACCACAATCTTGCTTGTCGTGTCCAGCCAACTTAAAAAAAAAAACTCTCATCTTCTGTGTGATTCGAACCCTGAACCTTGGGTAAGAAATCCAAAAACTTCTTAACTCACCCATTAAGGAAGAAGTGATAAAATTGTCACTATTTTTTATTTAAATTATAATTTTTATTCTCATGGATGACACACCAACGCCCTGTTAGCGACGATCCTACATGGCTGTGCCACATCCATCCCCCCATCATCCATGATCCTGTCTGTCATTTCCATGTTAGCTACGATCTCGTATGGCTATGCCACGTCAACATCAAATATGTTTTTGGGCCCAATTTTGGGTTCAAAAAGGCCAAATTGGACATTTTTGGGGTCTCTGGAACTACTTTTCTATATTTGTGACTCAATTTTTGAACTTTCAAAGCCTTTCGGGGTCTCTACGCACAAGTTTGGATTATTTTCAAGTTCCAAATCGTACATAATTTTTTCCCCAAGGACTATAATGCATATTTTGAAACTTTTGAAGCTTCGAGGACCAAAAATAAGGGAACAACTTATGCATCATAAAAAAATAATCATGATCGGGCATGAATCTCGAGACAGAATCATGTTGGAAAGTTCTAACATTAAAATTAGAACCATTTGAACTCTGATTTTAGCAAACTTGCAGTCAAATTTACTGTCTCAGAAATACGAACCTAATGACATTAAATTTAACTTATTTCGAGCCCAAATGAGTCCAAATCAAGTGCTTGAATTACAAATGATTTCCAAACATTACATGCTTAAAGTCAAATCCAACGGGTCGACATAATGAATCCAATGAGCCTAATATCACAGAAGTCCAACATCATTAGACCTTTAAATGTCTAATGAATGGTCCATGATCAAGGAATTCAACATGAGTCATCCATATAAACCACTCCCCATTTGCTCTTGATCTTCCACCTATTTACATGTCATGCCACTGCAAGAAATCTATAAATAGAGTCTCATTTGCTCTTTAAAAAGGACCCCTAAGCCAAAGGAGAAAAGAGAGAGATCGAAGATCACTCATGCCTCCTCGAACACCGTCTGAGCTCCATCGGACTACCGCTTGATGCCCTGAGCTCTACCAGACCACCACCTGACATCCTAAGATCTGTCGGACCACCACATGATGCCCTAAGCTTTATGGGACCACCACCTGATTCCCCGAGCTCTGTCGGATCACCGCTTGATGCCCTGAGCTCTGCTGGACCACCACCTAACTCCCTAAGCCAAAGGAGAAAAGAGAGAGAGATCGTAGATAACTCTTTCCTTTTCGATCACCGCTTGAGCTCCACCAGACCACCGCTTGACACCATGAGCTCTGCCAAACCTCCACCTAATGCCCTAAGCTCCGTCGGACCACCACCTGAAGCCCTATGCTATGGCGGAACACTAATTAATGCCCCAAGCTCCATCGGACCACCGCTTGACGCCCTGAGCTCCGTCAAACCACTATCTGACCCCCTAAGTCAAAGGAGAAAAAAGAGAGATCAGAGATCGCTCTTTCCTCGTCAACCTCCTCCTGAGCTCTGCTCGACCACCGCTTGACACCCTGAGCTCCGTTGGTCTACCAACTGATGCTCTAAGCTCCACCAAACCACCACCTGATGCCCTAATCTCCACTAGACCTCCACCTGACACCCCGAGCTCTACCAGACCACCGCTTGACGCCCTGAGCTCAACCAAACCACCACCTGACACCCTAAGCTTCGCCAAACCACCACCTGATGCCCTAAGCTCCATCGGAGCATCACCTAAAGCCTAAGCTCTGCCGGACCACCAAATGATGCCTTGAGCTCTACTTGACCACCAACTGATGCACTGAGCTCCATCGGACCACCACCTGATGCCTTAAGCTCTGTCGGACCACCGCTTAATGCCCCGAGCTCCGCCGAACTACCACATGACATCCTAAGCTACATCGGAGCACTACTTGACCCGCGATGTTCTATCGGACTACCACCTAATGCCCAGAGTTCTTTCAAGCCACCTATGGACACCAAGGTTCTACTAATTGACACGTGAACTTTCAAGTAACGTCGAAATTCTACCAGATCACCAGGTGACCCCGAAGCTCCACTAGACCATCAAGTGACGTCGAATTTTTATTTACCCTTGACTTCAACCATACAGTTGATATTTGTAATCTGATCACCCTTGGCGGCGAGTCAGCCCACTGTAACCTATTCAAATTCTAGTGGAATTATTTTCAACTTGGCCATGCCTCATGGCTTTTCCCCTTTCTAAGGTTTTCCACATAAAAAATCTTGTGTTCTCTCTGTGTGAGCTAGATATTCATGTAACGCTAAGACTTATGATCATAACTTTATCATCGCATATATTCTAGCCCACAATAACTCTGGTCCAAAGCAGGTCAGGTTTATGTCCAAGAAAGTGACCCATTTTTAAAAATGGGTCAAGTTCGGGCCTGGTCAACTTATGTCAAGTCAATTCTAGGTTGGACATGAACTCAACCCGTGACCTGATTTTGACAACTTTATTTGCTTTGTCACAAGAGTTTCTTTCAAAATTTTCTCAATAACACAAATTCTATGAAAAGTACGAGTTCTTTTTTTTTTTTTTAAAGCATTAGCTTTTTCCAATCTTTTCTTTCAAAATTTTCTCAATAACACAAATTCTATGAAAAGTACGAGTTCTTTTTTTTTTTTTTTTAAAGCATTAGCTTTTTCCAATCTTATGCACTATTGCAGCAGAATTTATTATGTGCCGAATCCTGATGCTTCTAAACTTTAATTAAAATTATCCACATCATATGTACACAAAATATTTATTATACACCCTATATATAGATGATATTACTTATTTTTATAAGAGTCTAAATGCAAGCTACATCAAAACTCCGCACTAAATAATTTTTTGGTCACCTTGAAGTTCCACTCACCAGTCCATAGCACAACTTGCATTCATTTTAAATATATATATATATAATTTTGATAACAATAATTATAATGTGCCATACATGTAGATGAATATACTTTTGCTAAACATGTTGCATATAATATATGCATCTCTTATTAAACAAAATAAAAAAATTTAACGGACATCCCTTTCTAAATAATAAAGTTTAAACTTAAAAATATTATATAAATAATTTAAGCAATCTCTTATTTTTTATTTTAAAATTTACTATGTAAATAACTTAATAACTATTTAACACAAATTTATTAAATCTAAAATTTTAATAATAATAATATAAAAGTTTTACACGGTAATAACCAATGGAAAGCACTGAATTTTATTGAACTATCAATTCGAAATAGAAATAGCATCCAAATGACCTACCTTCTTTACTCTGAACTATTTTATTACACACCATGAGATCTTGAACGAGAGAATTTCAGTACAGAATCATAAACTGATGTAGTGTTATAAAAGGCTGGAGGAACCATTGATCTATCCTTCCAGTATACATGCTTTGTATATGCAGAACCAAACTCCCATTTGTTCATCAAGGGAAAAAAAAAAAAGAATAAAAGCAAAGGAATGCATGTCCCGTATATGCCTTTGACCCATCCAACAACAAACAATAAAAGAAGCCCATAAATGTCTTCCGTTTTACTGGAAGAAAAGAATCGCATGTGATAGGAAAGCTAAGGATTGAAGAACCCTGTGCAAAATGGAAGGTACAAGCTAGAAACCAGTCCAGTTGCTTGGTTGTTTTGCGTTGAGTTTCTTCTCCAAGTCGCCACCAAATCTCTGGGAAGGACCGTTCCAAGCAGGTGCAGTTGTACTGGATACCTGAGAACTGAAAGGAGGAGCAGCATAGTTAACCTGGTTCAGTCTCCCATTGATTGGCCAAGACAATCCTGAAGTGTTGTTTGGCAAAGGCATTGGTTTGGGCCCATCATCAAAGGCTTGCCATGGCTTGGGCTCATGACTGGGTGCTGGAAGTGCTGCTACTGCTGTAGTGCTTGCAAGGATCGCTTGCTCGAGTTCCAGGAGGTTAGGATCCAATTTATCCTTTCGCTGCATTAAAAAAGCATAATTTAAATGGATAACATCGCCATCAATCGTAATCATTTACCTTGTCCAAACTAAGAAGTTTGGCTTTTAAGAACATTCATTTTATATTCATGAAACCAATAAAAAAATAAACTAGTAAAAATTGCTGGAAGCTGGAATTTATAGTGATGAGCAGGTATTAGATATTTTGAAAATACACCAAGAGAATAACCGTATTTTTCTCCTTTGTAAATAAGCAATAGCAAAATTCAGTTTAACCGACTTTATTATAGGTTTCTGATAGGAAATACTTGAGTTTGCAAGTAATCCTAAGGTAATACTTGAGTTCGCAAGCAAACCTAACCCAAATCGGTGAACAAACAGCAGCCAAATGGCTGTCCACAGCAGGAAAAACACAGCAAACGGCTGTGTACAGCAGTCAAGCAGCAGAAATTTAGAGGAAAACTGAAGGAAAACTCAAAGCACAACTTGTATTCCACTAAACGATGAATAAAATAGCAAGATACAATTGATCCTCAATTCGAGAGGAGGATCGATCTCTCCCAAATCTCTAGACGCCGCTAGAGCCCAAAGAAAACCTAAATCTAAGAGATCTCAAATTTCCGCCAAATTCAAGATACTCAAACCCTAGGAAAACCAACTATTTAATGCATACAAATCAAAAGGAAATCCCTAAACAGTCCCTACATTCAAATTTCCCTCTCAAAACCCTCAAAAAAGCTTCCTAAAATGCTCTAATGGGGCGGTCGGGCCGTTCGATCTCCGCAGGAAGCGGAGATCCCACGGTATTTGCGAAATGTCGGTCCCGTGCGGACCTGGCTGGACCGGTCTAACAGTTTCCTTACAGAATTTGTTGTCGGGATTTAGGAATTCATCATTCATGCTAATTCTTGTCAATGGATTCCTAGCAATCAATTCAAGGTGATCATGCGGTTTGAAGCAGAGATGTTCTCCAACAAATGCTGCAACGTGCAGCCAGCAAGGACTAAATTAACGTCGTTGGTCCTCCTTTAACTAGCATTTAATTTATGGATGACGCCCTTCCTTTTTTGTGATGCAGATGTCAAACAACTTCAGTGCCCAATTATCTAAAGAAGCTTTGGGTCTAAAATTCAATTATCTCTCTGATAGGAATAAGATCTCCACACAACCAAAAAACATCAATAAGAAAAAAAAAAAAAAAAAAAAAAAAAAAAAAAAAAAAAAAACGTAGCAAAAATCAAAGAAAAACAATGAGATTATGGGCTAATTTTATTGATATCGGCACTACAAATCAAGATACAAGTTAATATGCTATTCAAGAGGTAGATCGACTCTCCACAAATCCTAAGCGCCGCTAGGAACAACTCCAAACAAAATTACTGCAAAACAGAAAATCTCATCATGAAAATAAAATAACCCAATTAATCATAAATAAACCTTCTTAATTCCCCCAACATCTGAATTAAAATCAACTCACTTTCCCTAAATAAACTTTCCTAATTCCCTCCCAAATCTGAATTCAAATCTGTCATCTTTCCCTAAATAAACTACCCTAATTCCCTCCTAATTTTGGTTTTCTATGGTAAGTAAATAAAGGTTGAATTAATCACCTTTGAACCCCCTTTAGCCTTGCCGCCGCCGCCCACACTAGTAGGGCCTATAGGGTTCTTCCGTTCGCCAGCTAGACCGACACTACTTTCTAAGACCAGGTTGATTGGCTGGACCGGCTCAGTCGATCCATCAATACTCCCATTCCAAAAAGAGTCATCTTGTTCTCAAGGTGGAATGAAATAAATTGCTATTGAATCATCCGATATGGTTCCCATGTTGCTTCATAGTCAGTCAAATCCTTCCATTTGATCAGCACTTCTCTAGCTCCTTTGGTTGTCGAGCGAACTCCTCTCACTTCCATTGGCTCCAAAATACCTCCATTTTTTTTTTGTCAAGTTCATAGACAGCATCGTTGATAAACTATGGTCGCCAATAACTTCCCTAAGATGGGACAGAATACTGGGTGTATGGGGGAAGAAGAGGGTAGCTACAAATGATACGCCACGGCATCAATCCTCTCCACAACTCATAAGGCTCATAGTATTATGGAGATAACTTTGCATTTCTTGTTCGAGCTAAGATCTACTATCTGTAGGGTCCAATCTTAAAATACACCTTATCACCCTAGATTTCCCTCTAATAACTACCCTCCTACCCTCAACCTTGACTTCATCGTTAAAGCCTTCCAATCAATTTTGGTCTTCCCCAACTTTTGTAGTCACTTCATTCCCAGTATCACATCGTGCTCCCCAAATCTAATGGAAGAAAGTCTTCCAATACCTAAACCTTTGGAAGGATTAGAATCACCTCTTTGCAAATTTCTCTACTCCTCTCTACTTTTCCTATTCCCAGCAAAACCCCAAATCCCCCATGTCCACTAATTTCAATCCTAATTGATCCACCATCCTATTAGAAATGAAGTTGTGGGTAGATCCACTATCCACCAGTACTGCCATCTCATGATGCCCGATCTTCCCCTGAATATTCATGATTGTTGAGATAGTTGCTACTTAATTTTGCATGTTTGATATTCTTCCAATATGTTTTTAATGATTCAAAATATTATTGATTTAATTATTATTTCTCATAATATATTTTGGAAGAATTATTTTTGCTCTTATGTGTACTAATATTTTTGAAAATCATACTCCGGATTGTTGAAGACTTCGAATCAAGAACAGTTTAGAGTTTATAGTAATCGAAGTCTGTATTTTTCATTTTATTCAGTCTGAGAGAGTCTGATTGTAATTGAGTAACTGAGCACACACACACCGGGGGAGAGTTTTAAAATTCATATTTTTAAACTGATCGTACTGTATGATATCACTTTGTATGGGACGATCTGGTCAGTTATTTTCCCCAATGAGCATTTGAACGAACATGAATGAAAATATTTTTTCTAAGTATAGATCGTACGGACGATATTTAATTTCGTATAGGGACGAACGTCTCTGTTTTGACCTCAGACGAAGATTGTACGAACGATATTTAATTTCATCCCAGGACGAACGTCTCTGTTCTGACCTCGGATGAAGATCTTACGAACGATATTTAATTTCGTCCCAGGACGAACGTCTCTGTTCTGACCTTGGACGAAGATCGTACGGTCGATATTTAATTTCATCCTAGGACGAGCATCTCTGTTCTGACCTCGGATGAAGATCGTACGGACGATATTTTATTTCGTCCCAGGACGAATGTCTCTGTTCTATCCTCGGACGAAGATCATACGGACGATATTTAATTTCGTCCCAGGACGAACGTCTATGTTCTATTTTCGTACATTTCATCATGACGTTTCGTACAGACGAACTTTGAAATTTTTCTATTCAAACCGGACGATGATCGCGTACGAAATTAGTTAATACTGATTCACAACATGTTCATACGCAACAATATTTGAATTGTTCGTATGTACGAACATACAATCGTGTACGTTCAAATTTGAAAACTTCAATTTTCAGGACGATTTTTCGTGTCTTTTGTATAAAAATGTCCATCTTAAACTGACTGAAGACTTCTTCTACTTCTGTCTACGTGAATTTTCAAGAGCATTTAAAGGAGTGTATGTGAGAGAGTGTTTGAGAGAGATTTCTTGCTAGTGGAGTATAAAGGGTTCACAAGGTTACTCAAAGGTAAGGATCTTTGTGTGTGATTTATATTCTTCACTCTTCCTCTTGTCTATTTAGATTACTCGTGAGAAGATTCTTGAAGAAGATCTGGTTCTCTTTCGACACTTGGAAAGTGAGAACAGCTGACGGTACTTTGCCGACACTTGGAGGGTGTGAAAGGACGAAGGTACTTTGCTTACACTTAGAGGGTGTGAAAGGACGAAGGTACTCTGCCTACACTTTGAGGGTGTGAAAGGACGAAGGTTCTCTGCCTACACTTGAAGGGTATAAAAGGATGACAGTTCTCTACTGCACCGGGGATTGGTGGAAGAGAGTTTTGTAAAGGCTTATCTGCCTTGCTGTGAGGGCTAAAGGAGAGTCACTTTTGGTAATAGTGTAATGTATGAAGATGGAGTCTTCAGGGAGTGGATGTAGGTCGTGTTTGATCGAACTACTATAAATCTGTGTCATTTTTATTTCCACTGCTTTCTTGCTGCAAGTTAAGAATTTCGTGGTTGAAAATTTTCTTTCAAAATTTTAATTAACTTGCTACAAATCATTAATTGGTTTCTAATTTTTAAAATCCAAGAAGTAACTTTTAAAAGTACCAATTCACCCCCCCCCTCTTGGTTAGCTTTGGGACATTAGCTTAGGTTTAATAACTTATTCTAGTTTTAACAAGATTTAATAAGTGGTATCAGGGCGTTGATTCAAAATCATAAGTTTAGACTACTTTTTGATAAACAAGCATGGCTACTTTTGGAAACCGGAACACACCTGAAGGATATTTGATTACTAGACCTTCTTTATTTGATAACATCCCTTTCGATTTTTGGAAAACATGCATGTCTATATTTTTACAGTCTTTAGATTATCGTATATAGATCTTAGTACAAGAACGGTATACACAACCAACTAGATTAGTTGATGGCATTAGAGTTGAAACACCTTTTGCAAATTGAACTGTAGAAGAACGTGACTTGGCACAGTTAAATACAAAATGTTTAAACAGTTTCTTTTATGCACTTAAGTCAGAAGACTACATGCAGGTCTTCACTTGCAAAAGTGGAAAGAACATATGGGATAGATTTCATATCACTTATGACGTAACTAACGAAGTAAAGCAATCTAGCATAAAAAACTTAGAAAAATTATCCAAAAAGATTTGGTTAGAGGTATATCAAAACTAGACATTACTAAGGATCACCTTTGCGATGCATGTATATTAAGAAAACAAGTGAAGTTCTCTTTTCAATCCAATAAGGATCTTAGAACTAGTAAGTATTTAGAGATTTTATATATAGATCTTTTTGGACTAGTTGGAACTATAAGTCTAGGAGGGAAGGTATACGGATTTGT